CACACACACACACACACACACACACACACACACACACACACACATATACACACTCACCAGAGCATCATGGACATAAAAAGTGCCAGCCGCCCGACTTAGACGAGTGTTTATGCCAGAAAAAAGACTCACAAATGTCTCTGCCAAAGAGAGACAAACAAATGCTCAAAAAACATAGAACATCTAGTTTACGACTTAATTCTTTCTCCTGGACAGCAATGAGATTAAATGGAGAGCAAAAAAACTCCAGTAATCTCACATGAAGCTCCTCTAGAGTCTCAAATCTCTTCAAATGATCTGAGCTGCTCAACATATTCATTTTATAGCTCTAGACTCTCACTGTATGGCGATTATTGACTCAGTTGTGGATGTTACAAAGAGACAAAGATGATACTTGAACAGACCCGATGATTTTTATGCTGTTGTTTGTTTCAGTCAGAAACTGCAAAGACAAGCATAAGAGGATTCAGTCAAAGAGTGATTCATTTTCCTTCAGAATGCACAAACGGCTCTTCAGACAGACTTGAGAAGCTCTGGAGGAGAGAATCAATCGCTGAAGCACCGGAGGGTTTCTGCTAACAGAGACTAATGAAGCTGTTTATCATACAAACCCAGAGCCGCTCGCAGACAAACAAACACTTGGGTTTTACCCTCAGTGTGAGTTTAAATTCTCCAAACCCTCAGAGGAAGCTGCTCACAATACAACAAAGCAGCAGATGATTTCTGAGACATTGACTTCTGCTGGAACTTTGGAATTCTGGATCTGGAATTTAAACTCTGAGTTAGAGTTTCTGGATCTGGAATTTAAACTCTGAGTTAGAAAGAATTCCAAAGTCAAACTCAAATATTTAAAATTCAAACTCAAACTCCAATTTAAATTCAAATTGTGATGTTGAAAGAGGTGTGTTGATGTGAAAGAGGGCAGTAAACAAGTCTGTTTCTGAATGGTAATTAATTTGCAACGTTATTTTTTTATATTTAGTGCTGTATTTCAAAAATAATGATTGTGTGTCATATTTCATGGTTTGCTTTAAGCAAAATAAATGTTTGTTTTTTTTGGATACCATACAAAAAAACAATTTCTGTGAAAAGGAAAAGGTAAATTATATATGTTTTAAAAAGTTAAATGAAATTTAATTTATATTAAAAAATAAGATTTTATTTTAAAATTAAAATGTGTGCATATTTTTTTTAAAACGTGAAACAAGCTGTGCACTGCTCAGATCCTAAAAATTGCTGAATAATACAACAAATTCATGAAGCACTCAGCAAAAAAAACAGTAATCTAATAAATATTTATATTTTCATCAAATAATATGCACTGGATAATGCAAGGACAGAGTGTGCTGTTCTGAAGGAGCCAAAACAACAAACAGACAGACTCGAGGTGTGCTGTCAATCACGACCCAAGTCCCAAGATGCATATCGCAAGATCGCACAGAAAGAAGAGTTTTAGACTACAGTCTGTACTGCCATTAACTGTCTATAATCTATAACCTCACAATAAACCTGTTTCAGCATTAGGTGTGTCATAAAAGAGCCGCTAGGATCATAACGGTTAGATGTTTCTATAATGACTGTGACAAGACATAATTCATCTTTTGTGCATGGGTTAAACGCACCTGCTCCATGATGAAACCTCAATCATGAAATGCACCCAAAATAAGTGAAACTGCAGCAGTGCTTTGAAGCTTATTCTATTACTGAGGAGAAACATGCAATAAATACTTCAGCAATTATAAACAAAAATGCATCTTATAAGCAGGTCTTTTACCTTCTGACCTGATTTACTTTATTAATCTACTGTTTGAATTGAATCCAACCACTCACTGGATTAAATGATGGAGAAAATCCATATTTGTGTGTTATCAGGCAGAACAGACTGCACCGGTGTTTCTAACAGCTACTTAATCAATACTGGTTAACTATCTGTGTCTCGCCGAGCAGCAGGAGGAACTGGATGTTTGGCAAACAAACTGCAAGATCGAGCCAGAGCGCTTTCTCCATCTGTCTACGTCTCGTTCTGTCTCCTCTACTCATGTGTGAATGCAAACACCAGAATCTGACCAGAATTTATTTTTCTCTCAGTCAGTCAAGATCATTAGATGCGAGATAAATGCAGTAATGATGCTCCATTTTGAGAAAGATAAGCTGCTCCGGACTTAAAGTCAACATGATATCAGACTTACGTTCTTAATGTTCCTGGTCTTATTGCAAATGATTCAATGCTTTCTTTGATCGAAATGTAATAACTTTTCGGCTCTGAGTCACCAAACACCTTCAATTAGTTCAGACAATAGCAGCAGACAATCTGTTCCACTTCACTTCATCTCATTACAGAATCTATTAAGAACATCTGGAAATGAATACGAGCTCAATCAGACTGAATTAAAAAAATGAAAAAATGAAAATGAACATGTAAATCCTCTGCAGACATGAACAGGTATGAGCAGATGTCTGGTATCTGTAATGCTGCAGCATAAAAAAAAATTACATTTATCAGTTGGCATGTCTCAGTATTTTAAGCAAAACACACAAATGAATCTAAAACATTTGGTTATTGCCAGCTAAGGTTTCTTAATTAACATTGCTTAAAAATCCATGTGAAAACTGCTGAAAAAGTGGCTTGCAAAAATGATTTACTGTATTTTTCAGTGGATTACAGTGTGCATGTATGATGAACAGAAAGATAAGATGAAAAAGAATCAAATCTCTCCATCCTGAATCTGGCATGAACCTGATCACCAACCCATGGGAGATTATTTTGAATTTTTTGCTCAGAATTATGAGTTTACATCTTGCAATATTTACTTTTTTCCTCAGAATTCTGTTTACATCTCACAATTCAATTAACAATATATAAGTCTATAAAAATGTTAATTGCAGCTTTCTATCAAACAACTCTGACTTTTTTCCGCAATTGTGAGTTTATATCTCGCAATTGTTAAATAAAAAAAAATCATAAATTCTTTTACAAATATATATATTTTTCCATGGCCTTCCACACCCACCATCTACACAAGTAATTGACCTACTAAGATTACAGACTATTACATCCAATATACAAAAAAAAAAGTTTTTAAATTAAAATAAAATAAATATATAAATAAAAACATAAAATAAAATAAAGCCCTTACTTACAAATTATGTGATATTAATAACTGACATTTTCAATGTTGAGAAAAGCGTCTTAAAGGGGTCATATGATGTTGCTACAAAGAACATTATTTTGTGTATTTGGTGTAATTAAATCGTGAACATTTGGGCGGCGTTATGCAAATCTTCCCACATAGCGACGTAGACATGTGGGGGCGTGTTAGAACGAGCCATTTTAGGTAGGCGTGGTTGACTTTTAACTTTTATAAAGAATATCTCTTTGGATTTGAGACTTTAGTCTTTGCAACTTTACAGATCTTCTTTATGCACCAAGAGCTTGTAACACTCCAAAGAGAAAGGAGAAATTGAAATCGCATCATATGACCCCTTTAAAACATCCAGAAGACCCTGTGCTTCAAACACACTCAGGTACACCTGCAGAAAACAGCAATTTTGGGCATCAGTGTGTGTTGCAGGTCAACTCAGAAAAGCTGATATCACATAATCAGAGATCACAAGACCAAAAATAGGCTACTGTCTGGAAGACAGATCACTCAAATTGAAAGTCTAGAATCTAGCAGCACACTAGATTTTGAGAGACAGCCACTGCTCTCTTTAGCTTGAACACAGAACAGAAAGCTGCTAAACTAAAACTAAAACAGCTGTTTGTCTGCATGTGCTGCTCTGAAACATCAGCGGTCTAGTTAGTCAGCTCACAATCTGTGGCAAAAACCGAGTTTCCCTCAGAAACAGACTCAGTACAGATCGTCTCTCTAAACACTCACTTTACTGCAGCTCTGACAGTTAAAGCAAGATATCAAATACAAGATGACTTTCATAGTTATCAAGAGTTTTAGTGCGTTTCAAAGAAATAAAGCGATAAAGTCAAGTTCCTCACCACGGATCAAACTCATGAATGAGGCTCTCGAAGCGGATTAGCAACATCATATGACCCCTTTAAATCTATCATATCCGTTTATCCCCAAAAAATATCGAGAATCAAGTTTCATGTAAAAGATAACAAATTACAGTAACATGTTACTGTATTTAGAGGAGCGAGTGCATTCCTACCTGTTAACACTTTTTTTCTTTATTCTTTTTTATTTTTAAGTCTTTAGGCTTTTAAAAAATTGCCATATACTACATAGTGAATCTATGCTTGTTTTCGTAGACTTTAATTTGTTTAGAGGACAACACTGGACAGGATGTGGGATGTTTTTTTCCCCCAATAAAATTATCATTTAACCTAATCTGCTCACACCTACAGTCATAGGACAATACTTATCACCAACACTAAGACCCCATGGACAACAAAGCATTTATTATAGCCTATCATGTTGGAATATTCAAGGTCTGAGATCATCTACCTTTGGCCTCAAAAGCAGAAAGCCAGACTTCAACAATTCAGACATCATGGTCCTACAGGAGACATGGAGCAGAGGAGAAGGACCCACTGGCTGCCCCATATAGAGAACTCATCATCCCATCCATTAAACTGGAAGCAAGCTGATTATAGTCAGCCTTCTCTAGTTATTTATGTTATTATTTAATACTTATTTGCTCATTGTAAATATGCATGTATTAGATTATTTTATTTGGTGCATTTGTATTTTGTTGTTTTTGTATAGTTATACAATAGCGTATATCAACCAGTCCCGGTTCCAGAAATAAATCACTGAGGGCACTTCTGAATTAATTGTGAGGGTGCTCTAGCACATTTTCACATATTTTGGCCCATTGCTATAGTTATCACTATGTCAATCACTGCTATTTCGAGAGTGAATCCTGCATAAATATGCGGATGTCATTCCAGAAACTTAGTTATTTATTTTATTATTTAATACTTATTTGCTCATTGTAAATATACATGTATTAGATTATTTTATTTGGTGCATTTGTATTTTGTTGTTTTTGTATAGTTATACAATAGCGTATATCAACCAGTCCCGGTTCCAGAAATAAATCACTGAGGGCACTTCTGAATTAATTGTGAGGGTGCTCTAGCACATTTTCACATATTTTGGCCCATTGCTATAGTTATCACTATGTCAATCACTGCTATTTCGAGAGTGAATCCTGCATAAATATGCGGATGTCATTCCAGAAACTTTGCAACGTGCATGTGGCCGAAAAACAAAAGTTCTGCATTTCGAATGGATTATAAGCTCGCAAAGAGCGAGTTCTGTTCTGTTCTGTTCGAGTTCAAGCTCTGTTCTGACGAATGAATCTCTCTACACTGCGCAATCAATCTGTTATTTACATTGTGTATACACTCTGTACAGGCACGTGCACAGGTAGGGCTCAACCTGTGCAGAGCACATGCCCTTTTTTGTCCTTACACTCCGAAGTGCCCTTTTTTTTCTTCTTCTTCTTCAATACATCAATGCTATTGGTCACCCTTTACGTCTGTCTGTCTGTTTTACAAATATATTTAGCGAATGAAAGGTATTAAAAAGAGTTTGTGACTAAATCTTGTTGGATCCGCTCAAACTGTCAGTCAAACCTCATAACTCCACCCCCTGTCTTGACTGACTGAGTGCAGTGAACTGAAGTTCCACAGCAGAGCAGCTGAACGTCTTGCAAGGGTAAATAAATATCTTCTTGTTCTGAGTTTGACAAAAAGCGACTGAGTGTTCCTCGTCAGCTTGGTCAAATATATTTCTAAGAAAATTCTTCTTTGATCTATGATGGTTATCTGCTGATACACTTAATTTATTAACATTTAATCATATTATATATGGTCACACTCACAGCATGGTTAATGTTTACGATGTTAATATGCATATTTGCTAGCTAGCTAATTTTTGAATGTACAGGTGCATCTCAATAAATTAGAATGTCGTGGAAAAGTTCATTTATTTCAGTAATTCAACTCAAATTGTGGCATGTATTTGCTAGCTAGCTAATTTTTGAATGTAGTATTCTATACTCTCCGCTTATCATTAAGATGTAACCAGTAAAAAAAAGGGGGGGGGTGCCCTTTTTCAGTTTCAGCACATGCCCCTCAAAAGGTCTGTGCACGGCCCTGACTCTGTATGTTATAATGAGAGGATTTGACTGTATAACTCAGCATGGAGCATACTGTGAAACAGAATTTTGGTCATACCGCCCACCCCTAGTGTGATATTTGCCTGTCTGTGAATATCTTTTAAAGAAATCTTAAGATGATTTACGCTTATGTCAGTACACCTCCTCTAGCCTGCATGGCTGAAAAAACAGCTCATGAGAAATCAGTTGGATTTATCCTGTGGTTGATCTCTGTTTGGTAATCTTTGAGAAGATGAGTAGCATCAGAAATAGACACACGGGACTCGTTGATCATTTTGTCTGAGCTCTGCACAGATTCAGTTTCATTAGATGCACCAAAGAAAAGAAAAAAAAAACCTCTGATGAAAACCTTTGTTAATTTGAACTCTATTAAAGAATTCATTAAAGGTCTTTGAGAACAACAATCACAAACTATTGCGGTCTGAAACTAAATCAGAAGTTAAATGGGAGGTGAATGATGTATCTGATGATCTGTAGCGTGGAGTTATTTGGAGTAGAGCAAATACTCCAATATTCTTTTTGTTTATTCATATTTTTGCTATTTTATTCGTAAATAAACAGTGGTTCTTTGATTCAACACTCTTCTGCAATTCTTTTGAAAGCTAATTTATATTTTCTCTGACGAACACATGAGCTGAGAGAAATGTCTGATATCAGTGAAGATCTTTTATGCCTAAACATCATGTTGTACCATGTCAAATACTTAAATACGAACAAGAAACATTTATTTCTTACAATGCACATTATCCAAAATGCTGCAAAGAGGCATATTTGTGCATCTGTCAGACACTTTTATGGTGCATTCAAGCTAGGGCTGGACAATAATTCAATATCAATATGTATCGCGATATAACAAAATACTGTAATGCAATATAGAACATTATTAATAACAATACAATTATTATGTTATTATTGTTTAGTACAAATGTGACTCCCAACTGATTCATTTCACAATGTTGACAGCTTCAGTGATTCTAACAGGAGTTTTTGAGTGCTTAAACTCGCGCTGAAGTCAGTAATAATGTTCTTTGATAATGTAAGGTTCTTTTGCTGTCTTTCTGTATATAATATATCCACTGTTTAATAACCATGGTGGAAAACATTATAGTTAGTAACTTACCATATTTTTATTAAATTGTGATCAACTTAAATACAATTCAGTTGTATTAAAAATTATTTTATTTAATTCCTGCCTTGTAAATTCATTATATTTTTAATATACTGACATCTCTTAATCTTCTGCAGAGAAGTGAATTACAATGATTTTTAACACCATTAAACCAGTTTAAATCTGATACTTCTGCTTTGTCAGTGTGTCTTTACAGGTGAGGTTTTCTTTATTTGATGAGGTCTGGGAAAACAGGCTTGTCAAAAATAAATCATTCAATAAATGAATACAATTAACAAATTAATCCCGTACATTGAATAGCATTAATTGTAGATTTGCACAAGGGAATTATACTAAACTATAGCAGTGAAGGCTACATTATTAGGCAATTTTGAACAGACAGGCATTTATTTATTTTTTGCAAACTGCATAACACAGTCAAGCCACTTGAATATAATCAGCCTGGTCTCATGTTTATACGTAGGTATTAATACGTAACATTTACAAGCACAAAACGTACACTTTTGTACGTTTTTATTAATGCTAAAACGTACAATTTAGACGTATTTCAACGTTTAAAACGTACAAATCGCTACGTATTTTTAGCTTAAAAACGTAAAAATATTTACGTATCTTTTATATCATCAAGATATTCGTATCAATGCATTTTTATCATTTTATCAATAAACGATTTAGATTTTTAGACCCCTTAACCTACCCCCAAACCTTAACCTATCCATATAGCGAATATAAAACGCAAATGACCGAAATACGCAGGAAAATAACCATTTTAGTAACAATATAGCATTAAAATATTTTTATAGTCGCTAATTCCACTCTTACCTATAAACCTAAACATTTCTGTACAGTATAAGAAAAACATGACAGACAGATGCCATTACAATCATTTATTTATTGCAAAAATGTCAAAAGCAGTATCAAAAGTAATCTAAATTACGATGCATTGCACCCGCAGTCCTCTCTGGCGGAATACAGTAGTAGTGTGATCCAGAGCAGAATTTATGTTGTTAATCGCTGAAAATATTATCCAGATAATTTTCCAGATCCACTCTGTGAACTCGTGAAGGCACGAGCGCGTCATTCAAACACAGAAACACGGCATGTCGCAATCTGTGACGAATGCAGGCGAAAGCCAATGAACGTTTGATTATCCTC